TTTGGATCTCTGTGTCCAAAAGGTGCTATAGAAATAAAGTTTTACTTACTTAAATCCAGTGTGACAGATTTTATTATCTCTGGCAGATTGATATATCAGAAACATTAAAAGAAAACAAACACAAACAGTCAGAATCAGAAAAGCACAGAAGGACAAAGAGTATAAATATATTGCTGAAGTTGTTGTGAAAGCTAAACAAGAGGAGGAGTTACGATTCAATGTAAATGTACCATTTAATAAAAAATAAAAAGTTAAATGTTTAGTTTGAGGTTGAGTTTTTAAGAATCAATACAATATCCCAGAACACACACATTGCTGTATCTTTCTATATTTCCGTACACTCCTACTAAACAATGATTGTGTGTTTCATAAGCAGACATAATATCACCAACTCCCAATTTAGATCAGATATGCTGTGAAAGTAACAGTAGTCATAACGTTACCGAGTTATCAACCCCGCCACTGACATTGTGCTGCCTAGTCAAGAATGTCATGACATTTTATTTTGTCTGTTTATTGTCACTTGGCCAACAGTTGGCAAGGAAGCCACCAAGAGATATAACAACCAGTCAGAACGCTCAGACAGCTCACTTCTGGGCGGAGGTGTGGGGGTGTTGTACCATACTCATCTAACTGTATCTGTGATTTGTTGCATTTTATATGACTCTAAATACCAGTATTTTTAATTATTAAACACAGGGACGGGTTGATGTACGGTATTATTGCATATTGTGATAAAAATCATACATTTCTTCACATGCCTTGACTTGAAAAAGCTGTCTAGCTCACCAGCACACAGCCCTGTATTGATTTCTGGATTTATTTTGAACACGGGGACGAGGGGGGAGCTCACATCTTTCCAGTTATTCCAGTTAAGCCTGTCGTTCCCTGTTGTATCCCCCAGGAAAAAAAAGCCTAAACCGGATGTGTGGAAATGATATATATTCCAAAATACATAACCAGGAGATGAGGTGCCTATCTGTAATGCAACAAATGTGTGTGTTTGTGAACAAAATGTAAAGTAAAGTGATTCAGGTACGTTTCAGTAGGTATGTTTAATGATTATCGTGATTTTATATCGTCTCACGCTACTTCAGAATATGTTTTATTGGTTCATGGCTGTTGGACATTGAAACCAGGCGGTTTGTTACACAGTTTAACATTTTATTCAGTTGTGTGAAACAAAACGGGACTTAATTGGAGGCTGAATCACTATCCAGTACAGTCTCAATAAGAGTGGTGTCATGTGGCAGGCCAGTCGGTGGGAGGTTACGTTGGTGACTATCTAAAGAACATCATGAGGTGGAAGAACTTACATTATTGATACTTTCAGTTTAACAGATAACTGAACCGAGATAAAGCGTCTTGTAACAAAAAGTGCATTGTCTTTTAGCAAATTTAAATGTCAAGCAGTGATAAGCAGACCAAAGCTACAAGGGGCACAGTAGACGGTCGAGAGTTCAGTTGTGTGTTGTTAGTGTGGGAAGCAAACATAATGAATCAATATATTGCTGTAGTTTTTTGTTTTCAGCATTTTGAAACATATGTTTAGTCATTTCGGGGATGCACAATATATGGTACAGCATTTTTCTCTTTCTCTTCTCATGACTTCTCATGTTGTTCTAGTATCAGTTACACAACTCCTATTTTTCTGGCCACAAGCTACCGTAATATAAGAGTCCTGGGGATGTCCTTAAGGGAAGTTTTGCTGTTGCTGACTTATTATAGAACTGTGTCTGATCTCTAGATACATATGAACCTGTGATTACACTGATTATTTATTGTTATTTTTCTGGTGACATCTCAAATCGCATCAAAAGGCTGATGGGAGCTTCCCGGTTCAGAACTGTAATGGAGAGCTTTAAAGAAGATGAACCACCTGTACTCGAAGAAGAGTTCAGGAGACCTGGAATATAAATCAGCAGTACAAGTAATGCTAACCTTAAGAAGAGGGATATTTAACCTAAACTGTACTGCGTGGACAATCTGCCCATATCTTATCCTTGTACACATGTGTGAATAAACTACCTTATCCTCAATTACATAAGATGTCACCCGGGGTCACAACTGTCAGCTGGAGCGAACCATCAATTGACATTAGATTATACACCACGCATATGGCATGCAAAACAGCTGTCAACATCTGCAGCATTTATTTATTCCTCTGTCATTTCCCATACATGAGCATCGTTCGCACTTCTGCATCTTGTGTCACGAGTCTTTTGAGTCTGTTGCGCGTAAGTTGCCCCCCCCCCCCCCCCCCCCCCCC